TCCCTCTCCACAGTCATAAGCCTGGATGGTGAACGTGTGCTCCTTATGGGCTTCACAATCCACTGGTTCCTTGGCCCGGATCAGCCCCTCACCTGTAGCTTTGTCCAGGATCACAGCTTCAAAAGGCACCCCCGCCCCATGGATCCTGAAGCCACAGATTTCACCTGGTACCCACAAAGGCAGAGAGGAAGGGGAGAAATAAAAAGACTGAGGAGAGCACATTACGCCCCCTCGCTTGCCTCTTCCATATCTTCTTCCTTTCTTACTTAGACTCTCCTTTCTCATTACCACCTCCTATGTAGAGCAATTTTTGGATCCCTAGGAGTTCCTCCAGCCATCTCTTACAGCCATTAGCGGTGTAGATTGCCCTCTGCTGGAGACTGCTCCCGCGGCAAGGAGTCTCCACCAGCATCCAAAAAAGATGAGAGCTTCCAAGGCTGGAGCTAGATTTACTAGTGCTACACAGCCACCGTACTGAGGGACCACCTGGTTTCTCCTCTGCATCCCTCAGGGAGGCAAACCAGGCCATACACTGCAGACAGACATCCAGAGCATGAAGATCCATGATGTGTCATCCACCCACACTGGCAGGACGTGCACTGTACTGCAGGGAACTGCAGATAGGGCCACCTAAATCCTAAAGTCCAGCTCACGGGGGGATGACTTTCCCTCTCCCAAAGCTGAGGGAGGGTGCAGGAGGAAGCTCCAGGAGCAGCCTAAGCAAGGATCGGGAATGCAGCCCCCATCTGTAGGGATTTGTGCTTAGAGGGAGGGGATGGAGCACTGCCGGTGGAGTGTGCCCGACCAGCCCTCTCCAGCGCTCGCAGAGAGGGAGCTGTGCATGTGATCTTTGGAAATAGCTGAACTGCGTCAAAAAGTAGCTGGCTCCACCCTCCCTTCCTCTCCCGAAGGGCACAGCATCCTAAATCAAGCCGGGCCCCAATCGCCTCCAGACCTTCACCGGGGACCTCCTCCAAGAGCAAGGTTTGGAGGTGAGGGTTTACCTGGAGAGATCTAGAACCCAGCATGGTGGGGCTGGATGTTCTCCCTGCCTCTGTCTCTTGGTTAAATGTCCCTCTGCCCCTTGGTTAAGTGTCCCCCCAATTCCCCTGCCCCCCCGCCCAGCGCCGGTGCCCACTGACCTGCGTAGCGCAGCGGGGCGTCTTTGTCCAGCGCGAAGAGCGGTGGGTTGAGCAGGACCGTGTTGTCGTTCTCCATGACGATGCCCTGATACTCAGCTTCAATCCAGGGTTTGTGCTTGTTTGCTGAGGTGGGTTGGGGGTGAGGGATGGAGGAACAGAGTCATGTTAGCCGCCGAGGATGGATGCAGTAGGAAAAGAGCAGAATGTCATCCAGTGACAGGTAACAACCACCCCTCCCCACCTTCTTCTCTGGAAATTAAGATGTCTAAAATAGACCGGGAGGAAGAAGTTCTCTTTCTTCAGCTCTGGTCCAGGTAGCTCTTGGGAGACCTCATCAGAAACAACGTGTTCCTTCTGGCCTCCTCATTACTATCTTATCAGGAATATGTGGAGAGGCATCAGGAGAGCCGGAGTAGTTAAACCAAACGAAATCAAGAGGCAGAAGTAGCCTGATTCTGGAGGCAGATTCCAAATGCTAAACCCTTTAGCTCGCTGAAGCCATAATTAAAGGATCTAGGATACGTCTTCCCTTGGGGTGTCCCCAGGGGACAAGTCTTGCGTGCAGCCATCATCACTTACGCCATCATCACAACCAGCCATCCCACGCGCCAAATAACCTACTCTGAGAGTCCCTTGCTCCTTCCTTCCCCACTCCATGGCCAGCACCATGTTCCCTTGGCCCCTCCTTGCTAATCCCCGTTGGCTGGAGCCCAGCCAGGCTTGGCATGGAGGCAGCAGCCAGCAGGAGGCTCTGAAAAATGTCACAGGCCCAGAATAGCAAATTAATCTTTATCGCACAGGCTCCGGGGCAGGGAAAAGGGAGAAATAAAGGGGTGAGGGGGCAGGGGAAGGGGAGGGGAGAGAGAAGAAAAAATCATTACGAATTAAAAACCCCTCCCCCATGCCCACTCGCTGCCAAATGGGGCTCAGAGATTATATTGCATGGCCTAGTTAAAACCCCCAGTCCCAGATAATCCCCCACTCTCCCACCCCCCCGGGGAGACCAAGATGTATTACAACCCAGCGATGCTCTGAGGGCAGCGTGGCTCTGGTGGGGCTGGTGGGGAGCAGCTTCCAGAGCCTTTCCCCCCTCAAGGGCACTATTTCCAGGATGTGCATTCAACCTCTGCAGCACAGCGTCCTGAGGAACCATCCCGGCCGGCATGGCGTGATGGGTTGATGTGGAAGCATCCCTTCCAACCAAGCACTTGTGACCATCGGGGCCGGGGGGTGCTCCTGGGACCCGGGGGTGGGCCGTGAGGTGAGAATGGAGACCCACCATCCAGGGCAAAGCGGGCAGACCCAGCCTTCGGCGCGGCAGCGAGGAGCGTGGGTTGGCACTTCTCCCTCCCGGAATTGATTAAGATTATAAAGCACCGCGTAGGAAACCCGGAGAAACATCCCTCCTGCTCAGCATGCAGGTGGAATCCTCCCCGTTGTGCAATTGCCCACACGTTTCACCCCAACCCCTCCATTTCCCCCCGCCCGGATCGCACCCTGTGATGGCCCTTTGTCCACGCACCACACCACCCAGGTGGGAATCCATAGCTCCGAGATGCCAAATATATGCCCTGTTGCTGGGGTAACAAGCTGGTGGCAAGGAGACAAAATCCTTTGCTGCATCCACCTGCAACTTGGGAACCACTGATCCGATTTCTCAGGAAACGAGTTCCGGATGAGAGAAAAACAAAAAAAAATATTGGGGGAATATTTTTAGGATACGGGCTCCTACCAGCTTCAAGAAAGCTCCCGCAAATCTGAAATGATTTGCCAAAGGTGGGGAGAGGTTTCAGAGTGTGGAGTCACAAAGGAGAGAGAGAGGAGATCCAGAGGGTGAGGGGCCTTGCCTTGCCACCGGGCCCCTTGGCACCAGAGCAGGGCAATTAAATGTCCCTGCCAATGTCAGCCTGGCACCCGCCCTCGTCCCGGGCACGGAAAGCACCCTAAGATGCTCATCACCTTCCCTGATGACCCCCCAAGAGTCCCTGGCACGTTTTCCAGACGCTCCCACCCTCCCAGACTATTGACGCACCGGCTCCCCGGGGGTGAATTTCCCCCACGCCCGTGTCTACGGCCACAGCTCTAGAAACCTACATCTCTCTCTCCATCACTCTACGTGCTCAAAGAACATCTGCCTGCAGAACGTCACAGCTGTAACATCAGGGTTTGGGATTTTTCTCTTTTTTTTTAAAATATTTAGCACGTAAAATACTGTTGTACATAAGCAACCCGCACAGTTAACACATAAATGTTACAATAATTCCTATTGACAGATGGCAGATGGATGAAGGAGGATTGGGAGCTGGAGATAGAGAGGGGATGCGTTTTGGAGACAACAGGGGAGCGTGGAGAAGGAACAAATTCTGCCTCAGCGTGCTAAGGAAGGGAAAGAAAATGCCTCGGAGAAAAAAAAAGCAAGACAAGCGGGTGGAAAAAAGGGGGAAAACGTGAGGGGAACGCTCGGAGGAGAGGAAAGAATGGAGAAAAAGGCGGTGGCAGGAGACAGATGGAGAAAGTAGCGAGAGGGGATGGGAGAAGGGTGCCCGAAGGGGGGGCAAACCGAGACGGAGCTGCCGGGGGGACCCCGGAGATCCCCCCAACACACACCAAAAAAAAACCCCAAACTGTGGCAGCAGCGCGGAGCCGCACCGCCACCGCGGGGGGGGG